ATTACATTACAGTTTACAATAACAATTGATGAATTCAGATATACTCTCAGATACTCGTTTACAAAAGAATTACAAATACAGAACATTGGTTTACAAATAGAACAATTTTATGCAAATACAATTACTTTTCATATACAACAGAAAATATAGGATTTTCTGGAATCAGTTTACATATTCAAGAAAACAGAAGACATTCTTTCAAAACATAAATACTTATGCACTCACTCAACTTATGTTGATACTCTCTTTTCAAATTACTTGTATTCTCAGGGAACCAGTAGACAGGTATACCCCGAGCTTTTGAGAATATGGAGCTATTTATGTCTTATCTTCTTCTTTTGTACAACTATTTAGTTTCAGTATACAATGTTAAAACACATGTAAATATTTATACTTTTTAAATACAATGGTTGTTTGTACTTTGATTACTATAATGCGTGTGTTGTGATACTACAAATGATGTCCTCCACCCCCGTACGTTTCCGCCGTCTGGTTTGGGGGTGTGACAGTTGACACCCTTCATGGGCCTATGAGTCAATGGGCTTGGCCCATTAGGGTTTTAGGTCTGATCCATCAAGTATAAATATGGATGCATGCTAGGTCATTTAGTATCTTGAATTCTAGAGTGATAGGCGAATCTTTGTGTAATTGTACTTGTAACCTCTGTGTTGAGAGCTCTGAAATAAAGAATACTCCCCTCGTGCCCGTTGACGTAGGTCTCCTTGACTGAACCACATAAATACTGTGTTTTGTGTGCTTTTGGTTTTGCTAGTTATCCGTTTTACTTCCTAACAAGCACTATACGCTCACACACTAATACATGTGGTCGCAGACTCAATCATAATCTTGACCTGATCCCAGTTGCGGACCCAAACTCGATTCAAGAAAATATAAATATATATATATATATATATATATATATATATATATATATATATATATATATATATAAGAAATGTCCGCTTACAAGTTAAGTATGATAAGCAAAAACTTGAGAATTTAATGATAATATTGATAGTCCATGACGCAAAATCACTATTTATAAACAATTTGAAAAATAAACAGCTTCTTTTAAACTGTTAAGTGTTAATATTCTGAATTGAAAACAATAATAACAAATATGAAATGACCATATACAAAATGAGAATATACAAGCAAAAATTTATGATTTCAATGCTTAAAGCATTATCATCCGCTCCACATTCATCCTTAAATAATATCTTGAATATTTAAACGTATTTATATGTATTATTAACAATATTAATAATAGTGAATTTAGAAAACAGTATACTTATTTATATTTTTAATAATAATAATAATAATAATAATAATAATAATAATAATAATAATAATAATAATAATAAGGTTTTTGTTTGCAGAAAAGTCATAATATTTTTGATTGCAGAAAAGTCATAATATTTTGGGTCAGTTTCCGAAATAGTCGGAAATTAATTTGTTACCGGTTCTATCCGGTCAAAAAGGATCAAAATGCAAATTTTTGTCAGTTTTTAGGAATTTTTCGTAAACAAAAATTAGTGTAAGACTAAAATATAAAATGGATTAAAATTTTAGGACTTTATTGGAGATTTCTCACTTCACAATCAGAAAAACATAATTAAATTTTCTTCCACATCACCACATATCACACAAAGAAAAAACGACACACCACGAGTTAACTGATAAATTGTATATTGATTTCAAATTTAAATGTTCAAAAATAAGTGATTTGTTTTGAAAATAGAAGTTAAAAAAAGTTATAGATATAAACAAATATAAATATATAGATAATAGATAATTATAATATTTTTTTTTCAAACAACTATTTCAAAATATTGGGAAACAAAGTTGCGAGGATCATGTGAAGTGCTATCGAATTCGAAGGTCCGGTAATCACAACAACACTTTCACTCCCGTATATATCTCCGTGTCACGATCGAGATTCTAGACTCTTCCGGAGTACTCAAGAAAATGGGAGAACTTACAAGTATAGCACATTAGACCCTGGAACGTCCTAGATTTCTCTAGGACATCGAAGAATGATTTAGAACATTTCGTGAAGACTTGTAAATATATGTAACTTGGTAGAATATTCTAGATTAGTCAAGAATATAGGACTAATGTAGTAATATCTAGAAACTTCCCTAAGGGGGGAAGGACAAGTATAAATAGGGAGGAGCTCATTTTCTCCAAACCATCGGAAAGTTTCCTTGTATTCTCTCGAGCTCTTATAATAGAAGTTCTCTTTCGTTTGTAGAAACTCGAAAGCCTTATTCTCTTGCTTACTTAGTCGTTTATTCATCTCAAGGAAGTGTTGTAGCCTGACTTAGTCGAAGTTACACTAAGTGGCACACGGTGATCGAGTCGTCCCGTGACACGTGGTATCAGAGCTTGGTTCGTACAAGCAAGAGATCATGGCTACGGAAGGAGGAAGTAGTGAAGTAGCAAACCTACCCCCTGTCGTCGAAGAGAGAGGAAGGAAGTCCAAGAAGAGGGACCAATCGATAGATGCCTTGGCAAGCTTAGAAAACAAGCTTACAAGGACAGAGATTAACGTCGGTGAGATCCTTGAATGGAAGGATACCGTTGATCAGTTCGTTGCAGAGATAAGTGACACGAGCGATGGATTAAAGGAGACCATCGGTGTCCTCAAGGAAGAAGTCCTTGGACTTGTCAACACCCTGCAGAATGAGTTCCGTGAGAAGATAAGCACTCTAGAAGATGAGGTGAAGCTATGCAAAGCAGCGATAGCCGGAGGATCTATTACGAAGATGACGCAAAACACAGAAGCACCTAAGCCCTCGAAATATGGAGGTAAGCGTGATCCTAAACTACTCGAGGAATTTTTCTGGTCCCTAGAATGTTATTTCAATGCTATCGGAGTAAAGGATGACAAGTACAAAATAGACACGGCCGTTCTGTACTTGAGTGAAAATGCGACACTATGGTGGAGGCGGAAGCATGGGGACATTGAGAAAGGCTTATATGTCATAGACACTTGGGACGAGTTTAAGAGACAACTCAAGAAACAATTCTGCCACCATAATGCTGAAGATGTTGCCATGAAGAAACTCCGAGGATTGAAACATGTCGGGTCTATTAAAGATTACGTAGCAGAGTTCACCGCCTTGATGTTGGAGTTACCCGATTTACAGGAGAAAGACAAGTTATTTTACTTCCAAGACGGACTACAATCTTGGGCATACAACGAGCTCAAGAGGAGGAACGTCCAAGATGTTGATGAAGCTATAGCAGTAGCGGAAGACCTTATGGACTTCCGAAGAGATACCCCGATTAGGAAGCCTAGTGGGGGAGAGAGACCGACAACTAGGCCGCAACAGAAGGACGATAAACCCGCTGCAAGACCATCAACTTTCAAGGGGAAGGCGATTGAAGGGGGACCTCGAAGGGAAGTCAAGTGCTACTTATGTGACGGCCCTCACCTAATCAAAGATTGTCCCAAGAAGAAAAGTTTCAATGCGATGGTCTTCGAAGAAGAAAAGGAAGAGAGAGACGAGGCACAACTAGGCTCAATGCGACGCCTCAATTCGGTGGCAAAAGAAGAGACCCACACAAAGAAAGAAAGAGGACTCATGTTTGTGAAAGTTAGTATAAACGACAAAGTCACTAAAGCCTTAGTAGACACAGGTGCGTCCCATAATTTTCTTTCTAAAAATGAAGCTGAAAAGATGAACATTCAATACACCAAAGAAATAGGCTGGTTGAAAGCTGTCAACTCTCCTTCCGAGCCTATTCTTGGAGTCGCTTATGGGGTAATTGTCGAGATCGGAGGATGGAAGGGTCCTATCGATCTAACCGTAGTACCCATGGATGATTATTGCATGGTCTTGGGGATGGAGTTCTTCGACCAGGTACGCCCTTTCTCGTTCGAAGATCAAACCATACGTATCACCAAGGATTCAATGATACACATCGTACCCTTGGAAAGAAGCAAAACGGAGTCTCGGATCTTGTCGGCCATGCAACTCAACAAGGGACTAAAGAAGGGAGAAATGACGTACTTAGCAGCGTTAAAAGAAGAAACCACCCTGCTCAACGAAGAGATGCCAAAGATAGTGAAAAAAGTACTAGAAGAATTCAAGGACGTGATGCCGCCAGAGTTACCAAAGAAGTTACCACCGAGAAGGGAAGTGGATCACGAGATAGAAATCGAGCCCGGAGCTAAGCCACCAGCAATGTGTCCTTATAGAATGGCTCCACTGGAGTTGGAAGAGCTAAGAAGACAATTGAAAGAGCTACTAGATTCCAGATTTATCCGCCCTTCAAAAGCCCCATTCGGTGCCCCAGTCTTGTTCCAGAAGAAACATGATGGAAGTCTAAGAATGTGCATAGACTACCGGGCCCTGAACAAAATAACAATAAAGAACAAGTACCTGATCCCACTGGTAGCTGATCTATTCGACCGACTCGGGAGTGCACGATGGTTCACAAAGCTGGACTTAAGGTCAGGTTATTGGCAAGTACGCATAGCAGCAGGGGACGAACCAAAGACGACGTGTGTGACAAGGTATGGCTCCTACAAATTCTTAGTCATGCCTTTTGGATTGACGAATGCCCCTGCCACATTCTGCACTTTAATGAATAAGATATTCCACCCATTCTTGGACAAATTCGTAGTGGTGTACTTAGACGACATAGTAGTTTACTCAGAGTCGTTAGAAGAGCACGTTGAACACTTGCGGTTAGTCTTCCAAGTACTTAGGGAAAACCAATTATACATAAAGATAGAAAAGTGCTCCTTTGCCCAACCAAAAGTAACGTTCCTAAGGCATAAGATCGTTGATGGGAAGATCCATATGGATAGCAACAAGATACGAGCAATCCAAGAATGAGAGCCACCAAAGAACGTTTATGAACTACGATCGTTCTTAGGCCTTATAAACTACTATCGAAGATTTATATCCGGATACTCAGCTAAAGCCACTCCCCTCACCGACCTTCTAAAAAAGAAAGTTTCGTGGGAATGGACTGAGAAGTGTCAAATGACGTTTGATCTTCTAAAGAAAGCTGTCACGGAGGAACCAGTCTTAAAGCTACCAGACTACACGAAACCATTCCAGGTGCAAACGGATGCGTTAGACTTCGCGATTGGAGGAGTGTTATTACAAGATGACCATCCAGTGGCCTACGAAAGCCGGAAACTAAATGATACAGAACGGAGATACCCGATACACAACAAAGAAATGACAACAATCATACATTGCCTTCGAGTATGGAGACACTATTTGCTTGGGAGTCGGTTCGTTATCCAAACCGACAATGTGGCGACTAGTTACTTCCAAAATCATAAGAAGTTAAGTCCTAAGCAGGCTCGTTGGCAAGATTTCTTAGCAGAATTCGATTATGTCATGAACTATAAGCCGGGGAAAACCAATGTAATTGCCGACGCCCTGAGTCGAAAGGCCGAACTAGCAACCCTCACTCGAGTAACATGCGATTTTGCTGACCGGATCAAGGAAGGGCTAAACCACGATCCGTTAATGAAGAACTTGATGGAAATGGCAAGAGAAGGCAAGACAAGAAAATTTTGGGTCGAAGACGGATTATTATTCACGGTCGGCAATCGAATGTATGTCCCAAGATGGAACAGCTTGAGAAGAGAAATCTTAAAGGAATGTCATGATTCTAAATGGATTGGACATCCAGGTACTCATCGTACGAAAGCAATCATAGAACGATCCTATTATTGGCCCAATATGCGAAGTGACATAGACGCCTATGTGAGGACCTGCCTTATTTGTCAACAAGACAAGGTCGAACAGGCCAAACCGGCAGGATTATTGGAACCACTACCGATCTCCGAAAGACCATGGGAAAGCATATCGATGGATTTTATTTCAGCATTACCGACGTCCGAAGGGTGCGAATCAATAATGGTGATTGTAGATCGATTCTCCAAATATGGAATGTTTATTCCAGCCCCTCGGGATTGCACAGCTGAAGAAGTAGGGCGACTATTCTTCAAGCATGTCGTGAAGTATTGGGGACTTCCTCGAAGCATTATAAGTGATAGAGATCCCCGCTTTACAGGGAAGTTTTGGAGGGAGCTATTTAAGCTAATGGGATCAGAACTCCACTTCTCGACTAGTTTCCACCCTCAAACCGATGGCCAAACTGAGAGGGTGAATCACTTGCTCGAGATTTATTTGAGACACTTTGTCAGTGCAAACCAACGGGATTGGGCCAAGCTAATTGATGTGGCCCAATTTTCATATAACTTACAACAGAGTGAGGCTACGGGGAAGAGTCCTTTCGAGATTGTAACGGGCCAACAACCATTGACGCCCCAAGAGCTAACAAACGGTTACAAAGGATCAAGCCCACCTGCGTACAAGTTTGTCAAAGGATGGAACGAGGAACTCGACATAGTAAAGTCTTACTTACACAAGGCAGCCAAGCGAATGAAGAAATGGGCGGACGAGAAGAGGCAGCCAAGAGAGTTCATAGTAGGGGACGAGGTGATGGTAAAACTCCCACAAAGGATGTTCAAATCCACCCGAAAGGTACACAAAGGCTTAACACGAAGATACGAGGGGCCATACAAAGTTCTCGAAAAGGTTGGGACCCGATCATACAAGCTAGAATTACCATCCTACTTAAAGATTCATCCAGTATTCCATGTAAGTCTCCTCAAAGCTTGCAATCGCGATGAAGAAGATCCATCGAGGAGCAAATCACATCGAGCCCCAGTAGCAAACATAGTCTCGTATGACAAGGAGGTGGACGAAATCCTAGTAGATAGAACAGTTCGTAAACGAGGCTTACCCAATTGGACATAATATTATGTTCGATGGAAGGGACTACCCGATAGTGAGTCTAGTTGGGAACGAGAACAAGATCTGTGGCAGTTCCGAAGCAAGATCGAGGAGTACATATCTAAGACTTGACGAGGTCGTCAAGAACTTAGGTGGGGGAGGGTGTCACGATCGAGATTCTAGACTCTTCCGGAGTACTCAAGAAAATGGGAGAACTTACAAGTATAGCACATTAGACCCTGGATTAAAATTAGTGTAAGACTAAAATATAAAATGGATTAAAATTTTAGGACTTTATTGGAGATTTCTCACTTCACAATCAGAAAAACATAATTAAATTTTCTTCCACATCACCACATATCACACAAAGAAAAAACGACACACCACGAGTTAACAGATAAATTGTATATTGATTTCAAATTTAAATGTTCAAAAATAAGTGATTTGTTTTGAAAATATAAGTTAAAAAAAGTTATAGATATAAACAAATATAAATATATAGATAATAGATAATTATAATAATTTTTTTTCAAACAACTATTTGAAAATATTGGGAAACAAAGTTGCGAGGATCATGTGAAGTGCTATCGAATTCGAAGGTCCGGTAATCACAACAGCACTTTCACTCCCGTATATATCTCCGGCTCCAAAACAATGGGCGACCCACCCTCACCCCTTCTCTCTGTCAACCCAGAGACCTTTATCCGCCATTGGTCATCGATCGAGGTACTAACACCATCGACGTTTCATCTTTTTTACAGCCCCCAATTCATCCATTTCAATACTCTTTCGTATATCATTCAATCATTCATAAAATTGACCAACATAAAACAATTCTGACAATCCCCTTTTCATAAATTCCTAAGACCCTCTCATCCAATCATTTTTATTATAACCAGAGGGATTCTTGCTCGATAGATTTTCTTTTGGTTCACAAAACCCAGTAGGTTTATAGATTATTATCGCATGTTATGTTATAGCTCTTGACCTATGATACGTGCTTTATATCTCCACTTTTGGTTTTGTTTGTGTTGATTCGTATATTATGTTTTCCTGACGTAGTTTATTGAGCTTTGAAACCGCATATACGGAAGAATCATGCTGGGTTCGAATCATACTTCCCAAGGTTTAAACATTATCGCCGATTATCCCGGTTTAAGTACCGAAATTCGATGGTTGATATCGGCTTTTGGAGGCATCATCATGTGTAAAGTTGTAAGTATTTGTTGCTGATTTTGTCTTCTTTTACATATTTGAAGTGAATATGTGTTTTGATTGACTGATTTTATAAATAATAACTTGATTGTTGTATATAGCATTTAACTTCTAAGTTTGATTGTGAGTAAAGTAGTTCATACATCATACATACACTAATGGGGTGTTTGGACTTGTGTCTTCAAAGCGATTATTAAAAGTCTAAATCAAATTAGATAATCATGATAATCAGTTGATAAAAGCTAGGATTAGTTTAGATGATCCTAGATAATCAGAAAATCAAAACGATAATCAGTTTTTGTCAATTTAACAAAAAAACATTATTGTGGGTTCAAGTGGCAATGGTATATAAAAAAGGAAATAACGAACAAGTTCCATCCATAATTGATACACAACATCAAAGAAATATCGGTTTTATTTTCATCAATCAGTTTCATTACAATACATATTAATTCATTAAGAGCAGTTAAATTCTTTGTTTGTATTCGTTTCTGCTTCATGTGCTTGTCTTTTCTTGAAGGTAGATGCCAATTCATTTGTCCTCTTCTTGTTATATTTGGAAAAGGACTAATACAATTACATTTCTTCTTTTGAAGGCTTATGAATTTACGGGAATATTTACACCCTTTGTCTTCGGAGGTTTTATCAAACTCAACAAGGCACAAAAACTAGAATGGAAAAACAGGTTATTTACCTTTATCTTTGTATCTTGGGTCATATGCAATAAATAGCAACGTACATCCCTTCATTTGTTCATTATAGCATCATATTTTTGTTTCTTACATGGAAGTACGCTGCTGTTTCTTGCATATAGCCTTTTTTTTTTTTTTTTTCAAATTTTATATTTTTATTACAATTCTGTTAGTTAATGTGGTATTAGCTTCTTTTTTCAGGGGTTTCTCAACCTTCCATGCGCTTTTTGTGGCCATTGGTTCCGTTTACCTTTTACTTGTTTCAGATCTTTATGATGAACTTGAACATGAAGAGTTGTTCATCAAGAGAAGGTCTACCTTATCAGACACCATACTCGGTGTACGTCCAATTATCACATAATTTATTCATCTCAAAACAGTTGAATTCTTCCTCTGAAACCGATTAATTCATGTGCTTTTGCTAGATGTCTTGCGGTTATTTTTTGTCAGACGTGGCCATGATTATTTGGGCATATCCAACTTTAGGTGGTCTTGAATATGTAAGTAACTCTTGTTCAGTTGATTACAGCTAGGGACAGTTTCGTAATTTTACATTTACCACTCTTAGGTCTTGCACCATGGGCTCTCATTGTATTCAATCATGCAATCTGTTTTAACGGGTGAAGCCGAGTTTTACATCTTCATGGTTCTTTTCACAGAAATTACAACGCCCTTTGTGAACTTAAGATGGTAACCAAAGTGTATGGATATACTTACAATTTTCCTTTTTCTTTTTTGCTTTTATATTCCAGAAAAAAACTCATATTCACCAAACAAATGCAGGCATCTTGATGTTGCAGGCATGAAGTCTTCAAAGCTTTACTTGTGGAACGGTATTGCAATGTTCGTAGGGTGGTTGGTACGTGTATAATACAACCAAAAAAAAAATTCATCAATTTGTGTCGTTTTTACAGTAAAATGTTGATATGAAAGCTTCCCATTCTTGCAGGTTGCAAGAATCGTGTTGTTTGTCTTCTTTTTCTACCACATCTACAAGCACATTGATCAGGTAAATGATCTAATTGTGTGTAAAACTTTGTTAATTTTACAAGAATCGTGTTGTGTTTGGCTTCTTTTGCCCTAAAATTTCGGGATCAGTTTTGGGAAATTGTTGTTGAGAAATGATATTGGAGTCGGTTTTGCAGGTGAGGCAAATTAAAAACGCTGCGTTTTACAGCTTGCATACGATCCCACCAGTGTTGGCGGTGATGAATTTGTTCTGGTTCTTTAAAATTGCGAAAGGGATGATAAGAACTCTCAGGAAGAAGAAGGCTCAATAGTCCCATAGTTACACCAGCTAAAAGGAAAGGGTAATTATGTAATTAGACATCTTGTGAATTCAAATCCTGTACAGTTCTATTTGTGTTATCCTGCATTATAAATGTTGCAATGTTTATTTAAAAAAAAAAACATATTTAATTTTTTGTTTTGAATCAAAGGTATAAAAAACATGTTTATGTGACGGTGGGTTTTAAATTACGTTTGAAACATATATTCTTTAAATTATATAGAAAAAAACATGTCCATATGAGGGTAACTAGTGTTTCAAAACAGGAGTTGTACATAAACATCAAAATTCCTGGTTTCTTGGTTTAATCGGTTACGTCTGGACATCTTTGTAACTAAAATCCAAACTTGTAATTTGGATATTAGTTGATTTGGTTGAGATGTGTCCCTCATCCATAAGTTGAGTGTTTAAATATTGTTTGAGACAAAATAATTAGTTTATAAGTAGAAATAGAGTGTGTTTGTCATTTTAAAAAAAAGTATTATAACAAGGTCTTTAAAATAAGAAGAAAGTAATTTTGGTTGTTCCTAAGTAATTAAATTATTTTGTAACTTGTATGGTTTTGATTATCTAAAACAAATAATCTGAATCCATTATAACAATATAACCACCATCACTTTATTTATATACCAATTGAAATATCAATTGTTTAAGTGATTGACAAATTCTAAATATCTTAAAATACTATTAGAAACGATAAAATTAAGTTCCTAGTATATATTTATTTATTAAAGCATTTAAAATGAGAATTGAAATAGATTCGTTTCATATTTATTTATTAACAAGCATGTTAAAGGATTTGTAGTTTAAAATCCTTATATTCCTTCTTTTAATAGAATCACTAACAATAAAGAATATGGATGGGAAATCTTTAAAACATGGGGGTCAATATTTGTCTTTTTTACATACTCGGTTTTCGGGTGCCTTTCCAAAAAAAAAAAAAAAAAAAAAATCTCGGTTTTATTATAATCAAATAAATCAAATATATTTAGGATTATAAAATGATTAACTTAAGGATTAAATAGTATTAAATAATAGTAACAATTTCCTTTTTAGGTCATAATATTTAGATAATCCAGCCGACTCAACTCGCAATATGATGCGGGAACCCGTGTAAACGGTCAAAACGGGAATTCTCACCCGTTCTTCTCTCGCACCCGCTGATACACACACGCTTTCTCTCTCTAAAATTGGCATGGATTCCAATGGCTTATCATTCTTCACTTCTTACCACTGCCATGGCTAAGCTCTTGTCGATTTAAAAGCCATTATAAGACGAGATCGGAATTGCAAGAAAAAATGTGGAGGTCGTCGTTTTCGCTATTGAAGCAGGGGGTGACGTCGGCGGTTGTTAGATCAAAGCCGGTGTCGTTCGGATGGAGAAAAACCGGTTTCGTTGAATCCAATAACAAGTTATGTTCTTGTTTGTTCTCAACTTCGGCCGCCGGCGGCGGCGGCGGGGTAGGGTTAGGGCAAGGGGAAAAGGGTAATGACAATAATGATAGTATAACGTTTGCAGAGGCGAAGAAGCTAATGCGACTGGTGAATGTTGAGTCCTTGAAGATGAAATTGACTACCGAAGGCAAGGAGACGATTTGTTATTCGGAGCTTTTGGAGGCGTGTGAGAGTATGGGCGTCACGAAATCCAACGAGGAGGCGAAGGCGTTCGTTAAAGTTCTTGATGAGGCTGGTGTTGTTCTTATTTTCAGAGATAAAGTTTATCTCCATCCAGACAAGGTATAATCTAACATCCATCCTTCTCTTCATATCTCTACATCTGTTTTGTCGGATTTTCTACCTGATTCTTTGCTTCAAGTAGACGATAAGTGTTGCATCCTTTTGGGGCATGAAAATTAGATCTATAATCTGTGAAGTGGTTATGGGATTGGTGATTAATGGCGTAGTTCTTCGTTTTCATTTGAGAAACAATAGTTGTGCATGATTATTATATCACGATGGATCCTAATTAGATAATTAGATGCTTAAAGCTAGAGACAGATAGCGAACCACACTTGATAGCTATTTGGATAAAGGAGCTGTTCTAATAATGGATTTTAAGAATTGAGAGAAACATGATATTTTACTTTCATTACCAGTACAGACAATGCACTTAATTTTTCACTCAAAATAGCACCATACTTGCATCTCATTATCGACAATAGCAATATGTAATCTGAAAATTATGAAATGTTCTATATTTATTGCCCATAAGAGAAATGTACTTTGATTTCTTTATCCATAATGACAACATACTTACATTTTGTTACTTGTAAATTTGTAATAGGCTAATAGCAACATACTTCAAATCCTTTATTATGGGTAAAGAAATGTAATGATGTTGCTCTTCTTGGCCTATATTTGGTAGCGGGAGAAAGTACATTGCCTACATTGCTATTTTTCTTGATTTTTGATTTAGGTTATTGTCTCTCACGGTATAACATGTTTGCTTCAAGTGCTTAGAATATGAGTCAAATATAGAACCGGTGATTGCTTTTGCTTGGAGAGAGAAATTGTATTATAGAGCAAAAAACACATGGTCTCTTTATGCATTATACTTGTACCATTTTTGAAGTAAAGTCTTATCTTTTGACCCTATTTGGAATTTATCTCAAAAGCGAATGATTACTTTTGTGTTTTGGGAAGTTGATACTTGATTCAAAGAGCAGAAAACACATGGGTCTCTTTAGACATTATACTTGTACCATTTTTAAAGTGAAGCAACACCTTTAGTGTCAGTCTTGGATATAATCAACTGTTTTCTCAGGTGGTGGATCTGGTAAGAAGGGCGGTGCCGCTAGCGCTGACACCAGAAGACGATCCAAGGAGGGAGGAGCTAAGAATCCTACAAGCAAAACAGGACGAAATCGACATGTTGGCTCATAAACAGGTGCGCCGGATCCTGTGGATGGGCCTTGGGCTTTCGTTGGCCCAAATCAGCCTCTTTTTCCGTCTAACATTCTGGGACCTCTCATGGGACGTTATGGAACCAATCGCGTTTTTTACCACTGCATCTGGTCTAATCATCGGTTACGCCTACTTTCTGTTTACCTCGCGGGACCCGACTTACCAAGACCTGCTGAAAAGGCTCTTCCTTTCGCGTAGAAGAAAGCTCATGAAGAAGCATAACTTTGATATGGTCCGATTCATGGAATTACAGAAGAAATGCAAGTCGCCTTTAGATTCACATCCTGCAGCCAAACATGAGATAGCAGGGGTTGAACTTGAAACACGGGATCTCTTACATAGACATTAGAGTTTAGAGTTTAGACATTGACATAAAATAAAAACTCCTACATCATATGTTGCTTCTATGTTGGCGTTGGTGCCCCTTTTTGACATTAACATAGAAGCTTTGACTTTTTTTAGTTGACTCATGATCTTGTCTTGGCGAGGAAAAGCTTATAAACGGTGTAATTTTGTTTTTCTTTGAGAATATAGGAGAAGAGAATCAAAAGGGTATATTAATGGAAATTTCAGATATTAACTAAATACTTGGTTGAAATGGCAATTCGCTTTTTTTCTTTTGGTCTGATATGAAGTTGAACAGTATAAAACTGTTTTGACTGTTTGTGCTTGTTCATCTCTTGTGCTGTGATTAAAATTTTAAGAGCCTGTTACAGAAATGGTCCCTAAGATTTGCTCAAATTTTCTTTTTTGGTGCACCTTTTGAATTTCTTATACAGGCGATGTACCATCCAGATCTATTACAATCTGTCTTGGGTTTCATCTTTGCAAATACGTTTTTTGGTTTAAAGATTTTGGTTGTGGATAAAATCGATCTAGATGCAAATGCAACTTTTCTATGAAATCCATTTTGGATGCAACCAGAGAAGAAGATGACAGGTTAACCGTTAGTGTTGAGGAGGTAGTTGGGTTGATGCCTTGATGGGCCTTGAGGAATACTAATAAAAAAAACATAAAAAAACAAAAATGAGAATAACTTGGTCATTTTATAAAGGCTTGATGATTTATTTTTAACAGTGCTAGTCGCCAAAAGTGAGAAAATAACACCATGAGTATTGTCCATGCAAAAATTCAAAAGGTGGACCGAGATTTACGTCCTCCTCTTGAGTTTAAAATTGAGAGTATTAAAAAGGGGAAAATATATATATATATTCTTCTTATTTTCTTGCATTCTATCTTTTTAAATAAATTTTGAGAACATACTTCATTGTCTTTCTTTGTCTTTTTATTTTTAAAGAACAACTCTAGAACACAACTTTCCTTCCTTTTCCTTTTCTTTATCTCTTTAAAAAAAAAGTCGAGAACATTGTGTAAATGAACTTGAGAACACATTTATTGTCTGTTATTTCATTTCCTTCTCCTCCTATAAAAAAATTAAAAAATTAAAAAAAAAAACTCAAATATTTTAAATAAAGAATGGTTAAAATTTTATTAATGTTTTATCAACTTTTTAGTTATCATCATACAACGAATGAGAAGGCAAACGGGTAACAAGTTGTGTCGCTAAGCCCTTTTGTATGGTAAAGTCAATTCTTTTGAAGGCTATATCCATAGATCTAGGGGATATAACATTGTTATGCATGATCCGTTGTAGTCTACTAAGAAGCTCCACCGCATCCGACGCAAGGAAACCAAATGTATCAAATGCAAATGGTATGAACGCGTGTTGATTTTCCATGCACGGTTTCTCATGTTTGGTGACCTTACATGTAGCAGCTTTTAATGCAGCTTGCCCCGCTCTGAAACCCCCGACCCTCAAGCTTACGAGAGGGGATACCCTGTAAGGTCCACACATGCGTGTTTCCCTCCAACCCATCCTAAAATCAAAACGTCGGCCGGTCTAAGGGTTGACCTTCCTTCTGTCGGGCCAGTCAGGAAATTCACAGGAGCCTCTTTCTTGGCGGAAACCCCGACACGCTTACATATGTCGACCAAAACATCACTAACCACATTGTGCCTGTATTTAAACCCCGAGAGTTCTTTGCAATGAAGTACATGCTCGCCGAAAGAGTCCAAATATGCCTTGCGGCACACCGGACATATCCCATCGACTGGGAATATTGGAATCATGAGTCGATATTTGAGGATGGTACGATACTCCACCGGAGACATATGTTGGCCGAGCCCATCTATAGGGATAACTAAAAGAAAATCTTGAGCATGTGGTGCATGTAAACACTGGAAAACTGCTTTTTGCCGAGTCGTCATATTGA